GTTATCCTAAGGGGAACTCAGGCAAAGACAGCTGCATATAGTTAATTCTCATTATTGGTGGAAGTTAGATTTTCTAAGGTTGCAATGAATGCTAAGTTAACAAGTACCGAACCATTGCTCCTACGACAAATACAGGGCTAGGTTTCTGCAAAGCTCTGATCACATTTTCATAAACTATTCACTACATAACCTTGCTTTATGTGTGTTTCTATTGAAAGATATCAATTTAATATATAATGAATGCATATACTGATTCAATACGGTTGAACTCAAGGACAACAGCACTACAACTCAGGCCAGAAAGAAGCTTATCAAGAGCATGTATTTTCTCCGTAAGGCATGACACAGCCTTCTTGCTTTGGGTATGCTGGCCAGCACATCAGCCTGGAAGCAGTAAAATCACCCAAAACATGAAAATGTGGAAAACCTGATATTAAATACACCACGAAAAAGACACTTGTTCATAGTATGAGCCAGAACAAGAAAGCAGAGCATCACCATGATGACCTCAGCTGGGAATATGCATATAAAAGAGACTTGAATTTTTCCAATCTCTGAGCACATGTGCAAATAACTGTTGGAGGCCTGGAAGCAATTATTTTGAGGTTACAAACACATTTTAGTAAGCAGGTAAATTCTCAAAGACATAGAATCTGAATATATTGAGTATTATCTGTGTCTCTTTAAAGTCTTAATTTTGTGATTTGTGGATAGAATTTTAATTTACTTTTCTTTTTTTAATTTTATTGATTATGCCATTACGGTTGTTCTATTTCCCCCCTTCATTCCACTTCACCCTGCACCCTCCCTACCCCACCATTCCCCCCTTTAGTTTATGACCACATGTCCCAAGTTCTTTAGATTCTATATTCCCCATACTATTCTTGCCCTCCCCACTATTTTCTACCTACCATCTATGCTACTTATTTTCTGTACCTTCCCCCTTCCCCTCCTCCCACTCCCCTGTTGCTAACCCATAGAAATGAAGATCTCATGGAGGGTTAGCAACAGGGTTAATTTACTTTTCTTATACAGAAAGGAGAGGCTGGGTGACTTTTGCTGGTCAACAAGGGTGTCATCTGCTCCACCACCCATGGGTGCCATCCTCTGACTTCCTTCTCAGCCAGCCTGGAATCAACTTATATAGCACTGTGCTGAACACATAGCTTATGATTCTTTGTGGGCTCTCCTCACATAATATTTACTGCAGCCATTGTTTTCATTCTTTTCTAAGCCCTTGGGCGGGTTGTAAATTAAGCTCTGGAACAAGAAAAACTGGAATGACTCTGAAAAAAAGCAGCCATTTCTTACACTATAATATCTATCAGTTTCAATCATTCTCAGAGGGAGATGCCTGAGATTTCTTTGCTAGATAAGAATAGTATCTAGCAAATAGTACCTTAGACAAGAATTACTAAAAAGTAATCCCTGAGAACAAGGTGGTCTTAAAGTTTGTGTAACACACCCACACACACAAGTGCATAAATAGCCTTGGGTGCATGAACAAATCCTGCAGGCACAGCAAACTGAAGCTGAGGTGATACAGTGAGTCAAATATTCACCTCTGAAACATATTTTTCTCAAAATTATAACAATTAGGGATGAGAATACTCAAAAGCATACAAGATTCCAAATATTATTTTTAATTTCTCTGACAGGAACACATAAGACTATATAGAAAGATGATATAAAGCCTAACCCGGTGTGTGTGGGGGGATAATTTGGTAAACAGAGCATAAGAATACACAGCTTTAGTTGACCTCCAGCAATGTCATAGAATTAAAGCCCAAACCAGTTATACAGAAAACAAAATGTAGACTAATATGTTTAATGACTAATAGAAGAACACAAATTTTCCTTCAGAAATGTACAGAGTTAAATAATACTATAGTTACCTTAGCATCACTTTTTCTAGTTTGTTTTAGTGCAGGAATCTGACAATACTCAAATTCCTTTCCTCAAGCCATGCTCATTGAAAAAAAATTGAAAGCACAAAAACACTTTATTTATTCCTTCTGACAACTTAATAAAAAGATGGCAACTTATTCACAACTTATTACTAAATGTGGAAAAACATGGCCTAGATAGAAACTTTCAACAGCACATTCACCATTCCATCCACATTGACAGAATATTCTATGTCAAGCAGTGTGTCAGAAGATGGGAAATGGGTAAACTGTGAAGGTAGAATTCCTCCCATCGTGTGCCCTTGGGTGACTAATGAGATATATTACTAACCAGATGCATACTAGTATCACAGGTACTATTAGAAAGAGAAACCTGTGGAGATTAAAGGAACTCACAAGAGAACATACCCAGTGGAAGGGCAGAGGGGACTTCCTGAATAAGATAGTGACCTGAGAGAACATGGAAATACAGAAATTTAGAGAAGCGGAGCATCTCAAGTTTATCTGAAGTGGAAGATTTAGTTATGAACCTTGGTGAGAGATGAACTAGGCAGGTAAGCAAGGGCCAAATCTTGAGTGCCTTGTAAGTCAGGCCAAGAAGTTTAGATTTGTTCAGAAGGGAAAGGGTCCCGATACAAGATTTTCTATCAAAGAAGAAAAATTATGAGTGTAGTGTCAGGTTTACAATTTTGGAAGATCAGTCAGGAAGCAGGTAGAGAATGGACTGCAAATGTGGGGCTGAAGTCAGAAAAACTGTTAAGTGGCTGTTTTGCAACTTAAGTAATGATAATTCAAGAAACAGTAATTCAAACACCATGAGGACCTGAACTGTGACAGTGGTTAAGGGAAAAGAGAAAAATTAAAGAGGTATTTAGGAGACAGAATCACTAGGACTTGGAAACTGATAGAAGTGAGGTATCAGTGAGACTGAAGGTGTCCAAGATGCTTCCAGGTTCCTAGCCTATACTGTTAATTGGAAAATGGTGCCAAAATAGCTCCTCATGGCTGAATGTAGCAGACTTTTTACGTGTTGTAATAACTGCATCTGATGACATTTAAATTTCAGAAATAAAAATAATCATTATGACTGATAGGAGGGTGAAAAATGGTAAATTCTACTTTGTGTTCTTAAAAAATAAATATTTAACCCCACCACTGAACACAACTGCCATTACAGCAGGGGACAGCTCCTCCCAGGCACCTGTGACCACTCAGGGGGGCTGGGATTCTCTGTAGAAACAACAACATCAACTCTCATTCTAGACAGACCCCTCCTGACAATCAATACTGTAAAATAGGATGTAACTGAATAGGATATCCCCCTCCCAAGGCCTTCATTATAGCCAGGGAACCAACCATGTAACAGGGTGGAGATTAGACCTTTGGATGAGGTCTTGACTGGGCTTCTTTATTTCTTACTGTTATCTGAAAGAATTTCACTCTGAAGATATAGTAGGAGTATATGATCTAACTAAGAACTGGATAACCAGACATACCACTTACAAGCGAGGACTCCCAAAAAACAAGAATTTATTTACTAAAAATTTTACATTTATTCTTACATGTTTAAATTTCAGTCACCTTCAAAATATTCTCTATCTGATGTAATACACATACTGAGATATCTTTTTCACTGTTAAAACAGTTTTTGAACTCCTTGATTTTGATGTCTTTTAGTGCTTCTGCTATTTTTTGTTTTACTTCTTCCACATTGGCAAAATGTTTCACTTTGAGGACCATCTTTTCATCCGGGAAAACAAAACAAAAAAAGTCACTCAGGGCAAGATTAGGTGAATAGGGAGGGTGTAGCACAGGGGTCACACCATTTTTGGTCAAAAACTGCTGACCACTCAGCTCAGTGTGGGCAGGTGTGCTGGTAAATCATTCATCATGAAGTGGGAAAATGCATTGAGTTTTCAAAAAAAAAATTCACTGAGGCTGAATGCAGCCTCTCACAACACCACCAGCTGGTACACTGATACAGGTAGGTTCCTAGAACACTCATCTAGTGGGGAAAGGCTGTACAATAAGTGGCCTGCTCTCCAGAAGATAATTCCTGGGGTTTTGGGGGGGAGGAGGGTCCTCCCTCATACATCTTCAATGGCTCTCCCCTGCTCTTAACACAGAATCCAAAGTCTGTACCATAAAATCAATGACCTTCATGCTCAGGTGGTTTCCTTCACTCATAAGGCTACGTTAAATATGTTTAAATGGCACAGCCTAGACTCCTGGTAACAGTTTAAAGACCAAGGTGGACCCAAAATGAACTATCTGCCAAGAATGTCTATCTTTGCAACACTGCAATCTAATCAATCTTTAGTAAATGACAGGTGCTAAAGATGCAAATAATTTGCCCAACAGCAGGGAAAATGCCCCAAATGTTATGGTGGTGTTACTCTTCAGAACAGTAATCATTTTTGTGTTTTTGTATCTAACCCTGAAATCTATTCCAGCATTCATTTTTACACTGATTATATTAAGCATTCTTTCAAATTCTCTTTTTTAATATCCTGCTAGTTCCCTAATTAGTAAGTTAGGTGAATCTTTGGCACATGCTCCTTCTATATTTGTTAAATTATACTGTTGATAAAGATAGCTAGTTTTCCAAAGCCCACTTTTCTGTGTGAAATACAGGAGGCATAAGCCTGAGAAGAGTTTGTTTATATTGCAAAATGTTTTGCAATCCAAACTAGTAAGGGATTTTTTAAAAACAGAAATAATATTTCTATAAGAGATGTTTTATCTTCTAGAGCCCAGTAAATTTTCCAGTATTGTAATTTCTGACTAGTGTATTTCCATTACCTCCTGGTCACCTAACTTAGCCTGAGAGAGGGGTCAGTGTCTTTGACTCAGCTCAGCCTGCCAACTATCACCTTGTAATATCTGAAAAAATATTTAGAATAAGTCCAAATTGCTATACTTGACCTTCAAGCTTGCCCCCACCTACACTTTTAGCCTGATCTGTTGATGAAGCGAAAATAATAATGGGCTATTAGCAAGGAATAAAATTACTTGGGACTTCGATTCAGAGCACTAGACTGAATTAGGACTCTGACCACTTGCAAGTCTCAACTCCTTGGGAAAGTCACCTAAATGACATCTCGGTACTTCAATATACACACCAGCCACACAAGGCTAGGATCTACTGCATCTCCCCTAATCCTCCACCTCCGAGCCCAGCCCCCTCAAGCCAGTCCTGCGCATGCCTCGCCCCAGCCTCACCCCGCGTCTCGGCCGCTCCTCACAGCTCGGTCCCTTTCCTCGCTGCGACCTTGCCCGGCCCCCACTCCTGTCAATTCCCCCGCCCCCACCCCCACCAAGCGCTCCCGCCCCCCCACTCACGCCAACCAATCGCCTGGGGGGGGCGGAGTGTGAAGTCTCTCCACGCCCTCGGCCCTGCCCCCTGCACATTCTCCCCCAGTCAAGCTACGCGCTGGCCCCGCCCCATTCCAGTTGAACCTATGAGTCCCTTCCCTTTCCTAGGTCACCCTCACCCATAGTTCCGCTCACTCCCCCCGGAATCACTGAGGCGTGGGTGGTGGTAACACTGGCTCGGCGCTGGTGCTGGAGTGGTTTCCAGAAAGAGGTAAGTGCTGACCCGGGGTCCAGCCAGGGTCGACCATGGGACGCCACCATGCTTGCGGGGTCGCTGCCCGCCGAAGGGAGACTCCATGTCTGTTAGGTTGTCTTCGTAGCATCCGTGTTATTCTTTTAAGGCCAAATTGAGAATGGCGTTAGATGCCCTTCTGAAATGCGCAGCCTTCTCCTCCGCTGGGAGGCCCAAGCTGCGTCACCATGGCCGGTGTGCATCCCGCATCTCCGGGCACGCATGCCGCCACCCTGGCTGCTTCTAGTTTACGAACCTACTTAGGAAGACCTCTAAGAGGGCTTTGCTTATTTGCTGAACGCTTTAGAAACGCAAATCCTTCGTCAGTGTGGGGTTAAGTTTGATTGATTTTAAATTTAAAAAAGGAAAACCCGCGAGCCCCCCCCGCCCGACGCCGGGCGCACTAATTGCTTTTGGAGAATAACTTTGCACTATTATTTGCTGAAAACTTGTACATTTAGGTCTTCTATGGACATTTTTAATTTTGCTTCTTTTTCTACTTGGAACATCCTAGGTGCCAATTCATGTAGGATACAGTTTTTCCGGAAAGAAAGAAAACCTTAATCAAATATTTAGAATAAAACTTATTGCAGACCAATTTTGTTGAATTATGCACTAATATTTCAGAGTTTGAACCTAGACTTCATATTCTTTGAAGGTTACAGTATTGTAGAGGAGGTAATAGATATGTTATGTTTGGGCTTTGTAACTATTTTTTTAATCATCTTTGATGCCATTAACTTTATTATTCAAGATCATCATTGTGAACATTCATTTTTTGCTTGTGTCCTCAATATTGTACAGTGAATTTTCCTCTTCCCTCTGCTAACTGTATGTGCTTAAAAACTTACTTACCTGGCCAAGCTCTATTTCTGCTCCTGGCTGGCTGGTTAAAACATCATGGGGTTAGGAGTGAATCTGTGTCTGCTCAGCTGGGTTTCTTTTTCCTTTTCTTTTTGGTATTGTGATTTATTTTATTGAATCTAGTGGGATGACATGGGTTACCCCAATAAAATTATATGGGTTTCAGGCACACAGTTCTACAATACATGATCTGTATATTGTATTGTGTGTTTACTGTCCAATCAAGTGTCCTTCATCACCAATTATCCCCACTTTACCCTCTTCTACCTTCCCCCACCACCTCCCATTCTGCTGGCAGTCACCAGACTGTTTTCTGTGTCCTTGAGTCTTTTTCTTTATTTTTTCTGCTTAATCCCTTCACCCTTCTCACCAAGTCCCCAATGCCCACCTCTCTGACAACTGTCAGTCTATTCTCTGCATCTGTTTCTGTATTGTTTGATAGTTTATTTCATTCATTAGATTCCACATATAAGTGAAATCATATGTTACTTGTCTGTCTCTGACTGGTTTATTTCACATAGCATAATAGTTTCCAGGTCTATCCATGCTTCATTGTTAAATCTGTGAGTGCAGAAGCTGTTTCTGGGCCTTGGGAAACAAACTACTAAATTCTTTGTGTGCACTTTACCCACTTGGATCAGTCTTATGCTCTCTTCTTTCTTGTATGCCTTTTATTTACCTCTTGCCTGTCTCAAAATTTACATGGCTATTTGGGCTCAGGTACACCTCATTTTACTACACTTTATTGCACTTCACAGGTGTTGCAATCTTTTTTACAAATTGAAGGCAAGACCTCCCATCAGCAGAAAGATTGTAATTTGCTCTATTGAGAAATAGCTGTGCTCTGGAACTAGCATTATCTCTCGGTATGTTTGTATTTAATTTGAATTGCTACAGGTAACATGCTGGATAGAAGCTTCCTTTACCTTTACTTTAAATTACTCTGGTTAGCTTCTGTATTGATTTCTTATCTAGGGATCATTTTGGAAACCACTAACCATTAACAGCCAGCTTGCTTGGGGGAAGTACAGGGAAATATTTATAGAGAAACATAGGTTGGGAATAATTAGAAATCAGTCTGCCTATTTGCAGTCCTCTTCAGGTCATTAGTTTCCCATCACTTCAGTTGCATGTGAGTGGAACAATAATGAGATCCAGTCAGGAGTAATTTGAAAATGCGGTGAATCAGGTAAAACTGTTGAAGAAGGATCCAGGAAATGAAGTGAAGCTAAAACTCTATGCACTGTATAAGCAGGTAAATGCCTACAGTCTGATATAATTTAGAGACATTATGAGCAGATGACTCCTCAAATAGATATGCTATATGTTTTACTGAAATTCAGCTTTAATATTTTTAGAGTTTGTTTTGTTGCCTTTCCTTTAAAGACTGTATTCACCTAAAAATAAAATGCCAAAGTGAGAGGCAAAATGTATTCACAATCACAGAATTGCATTTTGGGGTACAAATTCAGGCAGAAACCCAAATTGTGCCCCAGATACAGGGTGAAGACAAGGGGTTTTTATGAGAAAAGGAGGGGAAGAGATTATATGAATAGAGGAAAGAAATTTCTGTTGGTGTTGACAAACTGAGTTACTGATTCTGTCATCAGAAAGAATGTCCATTATCACCAGTCCTTATGGTCAGGATGTCTACTGTGCTATTAGTTTTACAAATAACCGCTTTGGTCAAGTCTAAGTGTTATCTTACCAGTTCAAACATTCCAAAATTTAATGTGCAAGCAGTTCCTCTGCAATGGCTGCTTCAGCTCTACTTTAAAACCCAGCCACCCCCCCCCACCGCAGGCATAATCCCAAAAAAAAGATTCCAAAAAATGGCTCCACTTATGTCACCTTTTCACAGGTGTATACATGTTACTGAGGAAACAAGGGCCCTGCCACCTGGCACCTTGACATAATGACCCAACAATTAGTGTTAAAGGAAACAAGTTTTTATTAACTGGATTCCAACCTCGGGACGGGGAAGGGGATGGTGCTGAGAGCACTCCTGCTCAGAGTCCTCCTTTTCCAGGAGACCTGGAGCCTCTGTTGCTTCCCAAAAGGCTACATGCCAAAACCATGCCCAAAAGTTCCCTATATCCTTATTTGCCCTTAAGCAAATAGTCATGCAAACAGATCACATCCTCTTCTGGAATGTGCACTTGACGGTTTCAGAGTCACCATGCTCTGGCAGCAGCTCCCTCCTTCAGGATCTTGGGTGCACTATTCTCAACCTCCATATAGTGATTCAGGAAAACATGTGCTGGATCACAGTGGAGTCCAGGGAAGCCCACATCCCAAGAGAGTGACTTCTCTCTACATACTTCAGAGAAGCAGACGTACCTCCTCTCAAGCCCTTGAGGTTTCCATTGTGCCTTAAGCTTCCTCCTTGCCCCCTTAAGAAAGCAATCTTGGTTTTTTCCCTGGAAAGACTGCCATGAACCACACAACCAACCAAGGTGTCAGGCTTTTTCTAGTGGGCTTTCACTAGCTTCATAGCTTAGTGTCAGTTCCCCAAGGCTTTTTGGTAACAACCAGAGCTCAGGCATGACATTCCAGTCAAAGTCTTGGTTAATAAAACCACTGATGGTAACTGGTCTTACTGGCTTTATGCAAAGAAACCTTATGTCATCACCCACTTCTTCAGAGTGCCAAATTCTGGAGGGATCAGGTAGGGAAAAAAATTAAAAATGTGAAGGAAAATCCTTGCCTTTCTGCTATTCACTAAAATTGCAGTTCCATGCCTTACATCTTCTTGTTCGCTTTCCCACATAGTGTGAAGTTTTAACTCTTCCTGGGAAACCTGTGTCATTTCAGAGCAGAAATAGAAGAAAATTCAAAGCAAAGACAGAGTTCCAAAAGAAGAAGGGGGATGAGAACCTTGTCAGCTTTAGAATCTTGTCTCATTTCTCACCCGTCCTTCTATCTGGTCACACAGGTGACCTTTCTTAGGTCCCACATGGCCTGAAGCCTCACTGATAGAGGCGCTCTCTCATCTACCAGGTCTTCTACTGGTGTTCTGGCAGAAACATAACCTTTCACCTCCCACTGGTATCCCGACCAGCATTCCATGGTGCCTCACTTTAATGGTAGAGGCACTCTTGCCCACCAGTGTGTCCACTGGTCTCCTGGCAGAGACATGCCCTCCTACCACCCTATCTCTCGGCAGAGACATGTGCTCTTGCCCCAGGCCACTTCCACTGGCACTGCATGAGCCTTCCTAGGTCCCACGTGGCAAAGGCATTCTCTCCAGCCAGGTTTTCAGGTGACCTCTCTGAGGTCTCAACAGGCCAAAATCCAGAGACAGGACTCCTGATGTACCCAAAACAGCAAAGTTCAAACCATGTCTCCATAAGATCAAAAAACAAGTAAGTAAAGAATAACCACACCCAAGAGCTGAGGTTGCCTTTCCTCCAGGTTTAAAACTTTTACAACCTTTTAATATATTTTATTCATTCAGATTTAACCATAATCTACTTTGAATCCTTGTTCTCTGCCACAGTGGAAAGGACCATGCTCAAACGCAGTATCTGGCAGCTAAAAGTCCCTAGCTTTACAAGCACATGAATAAAGTAAGAGAAACGTTGTCACCCTGTGTTGTTGGGTGCTTTTCCGAAAAGGGGATTTCAAAACTCCTTCCACAGTGCAGGTCCAGCTTTCCCTTTCTGCATCAACCACATCAGCAGGGTCTGCATCTTCCTCAGGCGGCACACCCATTTTATCTGTGTGTGGTGGATTCAGGGCTTGATTCCCATCAGCTTCAGGGAAGAATGTGTTGTCAATAGGACATCATAGAGATCAGTCCCGTGTTTGGCCAGCTGCTGTTCAGGGCCTTGAGTCTTCCCGGTTTTCAGTAAGATTCAGTCCCCTGGCCTCAAGGGCTTGTCAGATGGGTAGGCGAACCTGTAGTGAGCAAACTTGTGCAAAATGATTAGCGTTTGCTCTAGATGTTGTACATACTGCTTAATTCTTGTCTCATGCTCCAAATCTAAACAGGGCATTCTTAAACCAGGGATTTGGAGGGGGTCTCTCATAAACTATTTCAAAAGAGCTCTATTTAAGCCCACTTCTGGGTGCTACCTTAATTGGGAGCAAAGCAGTGAGAAGTGCCTGGTCCCATTTTAAGTGTGTTTCCTGGCAGATTTTTGCCTAGGTCTTTATCATGTGATTCATTTTCTCAGTCTTCCCCATGGCTTGAGGTCTCCAAAATGCATGCAGTTTCCATCACATTTGCAGTGTCCGTCCAACCTTCTGGGAGGTATCTAAAGTGAACAGTGGTCCATTGTCACTTTGAATGCAGCGAGGAAGTCCAAACCTAGCAATTATTTCTTTAAGCAAAAGTTTTGCTACTTCAGTTGCTTTTTCAGTTCAGTGGGCCTCTACCCATCCAGAATAAGTGTCCACAAAGACTAACAAAAATTTCAAATTTCCCCTAGTTTTAGGCATTTGTGTGAAGTCCACCTGCCTGCCAGTCCTCAAATGGACACAGTCCTTTATATTGTACTCCTTCTCTGTTGGGACACACTCTGCCTTCGGAGTGTTCTTGGCACATATTTGACAGGCTGGGGTGATCCTCTGAATAGTCCTTTGCAAATGAGGGGCTTTCAGATGCAGCCTAATGAAGTTCATTAAAGCTTCCCTTCTATAGTGGGTCCCTTCCTGTAGGTATTTAAGGATACACGAGAGCCTCATACCATGGGCGTTGACCTTCCACACTGAATGGGGATCAGTGTTAGTGAATCCCCATACACGGCCAATTCCTCATCCCATTCTGTGTAATGAGTTTTAAACTCTGTCAAGTCCAAACGGAGTCAAAGCCCCTAGGTGTGGTGGCTCTCTGGCTGCCTGTCTTGCGGCTTTATTAGCAATTTGGTTTCCCTGACTTGTTTGCAAGCCATCCCTGTGGTGTCCTGGGCAGTGCATTATGGCAGCCTGGTCCAGTAGATTCACTGCCTCCAGCAATCGTAAAATCCCCTCTGCCTGTTTAACATCTTTGTTCCCCAAGGTTAAGAGTCCTCTCTCCATATTGCTCTATGGGCATGGACTACTATGAAGGCATATGTGGAGTCTGTGTGTATGTTAACCTTCTTTCTTTGTGACAGTATTAAGGTTCTTGTGATGGCTATTCAGCCATTCGTGCTGAGGTTCCTTGCTAATGGGCTTGGGTTTCTGTTACCTTGTCTGTGGTGACTACCATATCCCCAGCTTATCTTGGGCTGTTGTCCATGAAGCTGCTCCCATCTGTATGCAGCTCCCAGTCTGGTGCTGCCAACGGCTAGTCCAGCAGATCTGGCCTGGTAGAATAAACTTGGTCAGTAGTTTCCAAGTAATCACACTAGAAGGCTAAGTTCCCCTCCGTATCTGGGAGTGGGGTGGCTGTGTTCAGGATTGTGGTGGTCTGCAAGGTAACATTTGGGTTGTCCAACAGATTAGCCTGGTATTTTCCCGTGAGCCCTGCTGTCAGCCAATACCCTCCTTTTTGTTCCAATAGAGTCAGGGCCTGGTATGGTACCAACAGTGTAGTGGGCAGCACCAAAGTAAACTTCTTAGCTTCCTACAAGATGTCACAGACAGCTGCTACTGCCTGAAGGTATGGTGTCCAACCCTTTGTTGTGTGATCCAACTTATTTGAGAGATAGGCTATGGGTCAGGAAATATTTCCCAGAGTCTGGGTTAGTACCCCAATTCCAACCCCCTGCTTTTCATGAACATACAATTTGAAAGGCTTGTGTAAATAGGGCAGTTTTAGTGCAGGAGCTGAAACTAGCTTTTCCTTCAAGGTACCAAGCGCTACCTGACAATCCCCTGTCTATTCAAAGGGTTCAGAGTCCAGTCCTTTTGAGGAATTGTACTGTGGTTTTGCTGTAAGTCCAAAGTTTGGAATCCAAATTCAGCAGAACCTTGTAATTCCTAAGAATGCACAAAGCTTCCTTCAGTTCTCTGGGGTTTTTAATTTAGCAATGGCTTGCCTTCTGTCTGCTATCAAGCTCCTGGTACTTTGTGTCAGTTGAAATTCCAGGTATGCCACTTCCTGTTTGCAAATCTGAGTCTTCTGAGGTGATACCTTATATCTCCTTTTGCCAGATAATTTAGGACTGTGATGGTGTTGTGCAGACAGTCCTTATAGGTGCTACTAGCTATCAATATGTCATGTAAATACTGTAAAAGAGCTCCTGGTTTCAGCTGAACACCCCTTAAGTCTTTTGCCTGCACTTTCCTGAATATAGTCAGGGAATTCTTAGATCCTTGTGGCAGCATGGTCCAGCAGTATTGGAGTGTGGCTTTGGGTTCTGCCACTCAAGAGGCAAACAGTAGTTGAGCCTGTTCATGTATGAGGATGCAGAAAAAAGCATCCTTCAAGTCTAGGATTGAAAACCATTTGCTGTCTCCAGGCACCATGGTCAACAGAGTGTCTGATTGGGCATTGTAGGATGAATGTCCTGAACAATGTCATTTATGGCCCTAAAATCCTGTACCAACCAGTATTTGTCAGAGGTTTTTTGACTGGCAGAAGGGGAGTGCTATAGGGTGACTGGGAAGGCTGAATTAGTTCCAATTTAAAAAACTTCTGCAGTGCTGGCTGGATCCCTTCTAAAGCCTCCTCCTTGAGGGGGCACTGCTTCTTTTGTGGGGCCTGTGCCCCTTCTTTTAGATGAACTTTTATGGGTTGCATGTTAACTGCTTTACCTGGGGTTCCATCAGCCCAAACAGTCTGATCAACCTGCTCATAGATCTCAGGTAGGAAGAGGTCACCTCTGGGATCTTCCAGACAGGTCAGGAATGCCTGTAGCTGGAGGGCACGTTCCAGCGGGACTTTCACCCATAACTGCCATCACAAGAGAAGAGCCTGTGCATGTGCTCAGTTTGGATGATGAATGGAAAAAATGGAGGTGATATGGTCTGCCATTCTCTGAGGATCATCTCTACATGAGGGGTTGGATTCTTCCAATTCAGTAAGTCTGAAGAGGAGAACGGAGTATGGGCCCAAAAGTGGTCAGCAGGCTGGACTTTCTGATTTACTCTACCTATGGGATATTGCCTCAGAGGGAATTGGCTTGTTCTGAATTGGCTCTCTGTTCTAATTGGGTGCCCTGAAAGGTCTTTGGTGGAGCAACCTCTCCCCAGATATACAGGGGTACAGCCATTGGCTCTGTGGTCTCTACTTCAATTGGCAGCTCATGAAGGGGGTGATGGCAAGGGAGCTCCCCATGGGTCCCCTGACAGGGGGACCTTGTTCCCCTGGGTTCAGAACACTGGTGAAGTTTATTTCCTCTTTGTCCCTTCCTTCCTCTGTTTTACCATCAGGGAGAGGTTTTGAGGCCACTTTCCATCTCTGGACCATCAAACGATCCTCTGACCTTGACAAAACCCTATTGTACAACAGCATAATTGCACTGACATGATGAATTTCATCCCATCTGTCCAACTGTTGGCAATACTGTTCCAATTGCATAATGGTACAGTAATTCAGGGAACCATACATACATGGGCCACCTTTCCCCACAATTCAAAACATATGTAGGCCAAACAGTATTACAGTAATAAATCAATGCCTCCTTGAACTTTGGATAATGGCAGTACATACTCCAGTCCTTCAAAATTCTACCCAGTGGGTCCCCCTCAGGGCCAGCATGGAACCATCCCTGTTGGACTAGATGTACAAGTCCAAAGCTATGATTGAAAGAATGCAGGCAAATTGGCAACATATAAGAAAAACCCACAATTCCATTATTCCAAGCACTGCTGACAAGCAAATTTTCATCCAAACGAGGTCACTTCTCAGAGCCTGTCCTCTTCCCTGACCTATTTCCTTTCTACCTGCGAGGCGTATTTAGGCAGCCAATGCCCTTAAAAGGTATGCAGAGAAATTCTGAGACTGGGAAACTCCAGTCCCACTCTCCCACTCACGAGGGGGTCACCCTGCTACAGCCAGTTATCAGCGTCCCTTTATTGTTGCCATTACTGTTACAGAACCCTGCCAGTGCTGTTCTGGAACAGTTGTGGGGTTCAATTGCCTGCCACCAAGAAGCATGACTCTCAGTGCAAGAGTTCAGGTGAAAAAGAAAAGGGGTTGTTTATTGGAAGGCTATGCAGATTTAGGTAATGACAGATTTCTGCCATGAAGTCCCACTCCCTTTTAAAACATGCAGTCCTCCCTCCTTTTGCCAAACCAGATCAGTTTCAGAACATGCCAGTCCAAGTTACCATCTTTCAGAAATGCAGAAGTTCACAGATCAGCATTTCTGATCACAGTTCAGCTCTAAGCATCCCTCACAAACTCAGATGGCTAGGTGAGTCCCCCGTGTAGCTCCACCAGCTGTGCCACCGTCTTCTCCAGGTGGACTCAAATCTTGGTGTCTGGGCAGGTTCCCCCCAGTTATACTGCCAGCTCCGTCAAGTCACTGGACTTCTGACTTTCAGACCTTCTCTCTCTTACTCCAGACCATGTGACTCTTTTCTCTTTCAGCCTGCTCTCATTTAAATGCTCAGCCTGGAACTACCTACATGACTACATATCTGGTCCCCTCCTGTGATGTGTTAGTGTTACCGAATAAGGGGTCCAAGGGGGGGGCAATACTTGGCCCACCTAGGGATGCCAAAAACGGCTACAGAACAAGGATCCTTCCCAAGGACAGAATACTAATATCTACTGGGCTCTTCTGTCCGCCGCCAATTGGAAAGACGTCTCTCAATGCCAGAGATTTGTGAAAAGGAAACAAAATGTTTATTTAATGCTATTCAGGCCTAATGCCTCCACTAAAATATCAAAGTCCTTTAGGTTGTACACCTACACCCATGCAGCGCTCCCTTCTCCCACTGTCCCAACTCCGGGTACCGTAAATCAGGAAAAGAGCACACGTCTGTGTTTGAGGTCGCTGATATCGTCCGCTGTGTCAGTCAGGATCTCAAGTTAATCCAAAATACTGTGGTACCCTCTCATGGTCCACTGGCCAGAGTTCTTTGTACCCAGTTCCAAAGTCTCTGCTGCTTTCCAGGCCACATGGCCAAAGGGGGCACCCCAAAGCCGCGTGGGCCTCTTCTACCAAAGCTGCAGGGGTCCACACTCCACCAAAAGCATGGGGCTTTCTTCTTCACCTGGCTGCAGGAATCTCCATTCTGGCAAAGCTGCGTGGTTTTCTCTTTCACCTCACCAAGAGGGGGTCCTCACTCTGCTGAAACCGTGTGGCTCTCCCTTCATGACTGCAGGGGTCCTCACTGTACCCCACACAGAGTGGCTCTCTCTTTCATCTGCCTGCGGGGGGCTCCCCATTCTGGCAAAGTCGACTGGTACTCTTTCACTCTGCTGAAAACCACGTGGCTCTCCCTTCAATGGCTGCCACGTCTGGGTTACTCCCTTCTCCCTGGCTCAAAACTTGGCCACCGCTATTTAACATATCTATGAAACCAGTTAAAGGTTATAGATATATTAAATAATTATTCCAGAGGTTAGCTGCAAAGCTTGCTATGCAAAACAGCTCTCAATGGCCCTGCTCTATTGGTCTCTTCCCCCTGGGGGGGGAGAGGGTGAGGACATCCTATATGTCTCTCCAATATTCCTATACACTTTGAATTCTGGACATCGTTCCAAATATTTTTGGGCCCCCCCCCCCTTGGCTGCACCCTGTATCATTAGTATCTGCCATTTTTGCCAGTTCCCTCTATCTTTTACTCTTTTGGCTGCCATCTTTAGTCAGGGCAAAAATTCTCAATGACACAGGGACATCCAGGGAGGGCATGTGCCTCCTATCTCTCACAGAAGTGCTGTATAAGCTTTCCACCTCATCTATAGCCATACCACCCTGAAAGCCAATCTGATCTATAAGCTTTCCCTCCCATCTCTATCATAAGACCCTGAATGTTCTCAGTTACCTACACAATTGGCCCTGAGCTGCAACCCTCTTCCCTTCAGGAAGACACAGCTATTAACTTGCCGTTGTTACACAATGCATTTTAACTGCTGTGTCATCCACTCCCTCACCCTCAGTTGAGGACTGTGGGGGCTGTGCTGTGCACCCCACTAAATACATACCTGTGTTTGTATAGTGTACTTGCAAATCCTGTTAAGGCAAAGAGTCACCCCTCAGGATCTTTATAGAGTAAGAGACTTAAAGAATGTAATAACCAAATGTGTAGACCTTATGTGGCTGCTGATTATAATAAATCAACCAAAAAAGTTGTTTTCAGAAAATTGGGGAAGTTTGAATACGGGCTGAGTAATAGATGATACCTAGGAAATGTTGTTAATGATATCATGGTTATATAAGAAAATGTTGGTTTTTTAGAAATGCATATTAAGAATGTAGGGGTGAAATAACATGGTGTTTGGGAGTCCCTAAAATAAAGCAAAAAAGAAAGAAAAGAATGGAGGGAACAAGTATGGCAAAATAATAGTTGTTGAATTTGGGTGATGAGTACTAGGAATTCATTGTAATATTTTTGTGTATGTTTGAAAGTTTGTATAACAAAATTTTTAAATGTAGGTTTAAGTAGCACTATCTAAAGACTACCCTGGGAAGTCAACCCCCCTGGGCTTCTGTGTGTTACCTGTTTTTCTCTTTCTGTGACTGCTGTGAGCCTCTTCTACTTTCATATGAGTGAGTATAGTAAAGAATTTAACTTTGTCCCGAAAAAGGTCTGGCATTTGCCCTTGGCCTCTGGGCAGAGTTACGTTAGATTACCTAATATCTAAACCTAGAACACCTAATATCTAAACCTAGAACACTTAATATTGAAACCCTTGAAATGCTGTGCCTCACAGGAGTGTCTTTGTTTGCTTTCAGTCTAAGGGGGTCATTTAGAGTGGGACTGGCCACAGGGTAGTAGCAATGTGTTTTAGGGTGGGGCTTCATTTACATATTTAATTGTAGTGGAGCTCAAAGTGAAAACTCTGAACACTGATGCCTGAGTGGGCTTTTCTGGTGGATGATACTGCATGTGTAATGTTACATCAGCTCTGGGAGACGTACACTGTCCTGACTCCACAGTGTGGGCAGGAAGGTGTACATCCCCAGACTTCACCTTAGGCATCTCCTCCCTTGCTGATGTTGAACTGTGTTCTTTCCTGGCAATAAACTGTAATCGTGAGTTCTGTGTGTTATTCTAGCAAGTTACTGAACCTGAGCGTGGTACTGTTAGCAAACAAGAGGTCCGAGGGAGGGGCAATACAATATTTGGCCCACCTAGGGATGCCAAAAACTGCTACACAACAGGGGCCCCTCCCAAGAACAGAATACTAATATCTACTGGGCTCTTCTGTCCGCCGCCAATTGGAAAGACATCCCTCAATGCCAGAGATTTGTGAAAAGGAAACGAAATGTTTATTTAATGCTATTTAGGCTTAATGCCTCCACTAAAATATCATAGTCCTTTAGGTTGTACACCTACACCCACACAGCGTTCCCTTCTCCCACTGTCCCAACTCCAGGTACCATAAGTCAGGAAAAGAGCACACGTCTTGTTATACCCAGCTAGGAAAATTACAGCTAGGGCATTACCCAACCCTAAATCTGCAGTTCCTGGAACAGGGTAATGAACAAACATCCGGGAACAATTGGGTTTAAAATTCTAGCCAAATAAGGTAACTAACCCGGCCGCCAGAAAGTGCCCGCCAGCAGCAGCAGCACCCACCAATCAGGGACCCTCGCCGTTTTTAAATAAGCCAATAGCTAGCCGCCACCTCTGCTTCTGTATGCCTTTGCTTGCTTGCTAGAAAATATAAATACCCAGTAGTCTGTAAGCCAGGCGCGACTTCCATTTTGTAGCTCTGAGTAGCTACGTGACTCCGGTCACAGTTGGGGAAGTTCGCCCCTGCGCAGGAAAAATCTTTGGCCATTAAAATTTTTATCAATTCGGTTCCGGACTCCAAGAGTGTGTATTTACCCACCAATCTCTACAACAGTCTGTGTTTCAGGCCGCTGGCACCGTCAGCTGTGTCACCGTGCAGGCAGGATCTCTCTCTAGTTAATCCAAAGTACTGTGGTACCCTCTCATGGTCCACTGGCAAGAGTCCTTTGTACCCAGTTCCAGTCAAAGTCTCTCTTGCTTTTCAGGCCCCACAGCCAAAGGGGGCACCCCAAAGCCGCATGGGCCTCTTCTACCAAAGCTGCAGGAGTCTGCGCTCTACCAAAAGCATGTGGCTTTCTTCTTCACCAGGCTGCAGGGATCTCCATTCTGGCAAAGCTGCATGATTTTCCCTTTCACTTGGGCAGTTAGCCCCTCATGTCCCGGAGCCCATCTTTTCCAAGCTCCCACACACTGGCCTACTCACTCAGGAGTGCAGCCCCTAGTTCCATCCTGAGTCCCAGCTACTCCCTTCTCCCTGGCTCAAAACTTGGCCACGGCTATTTAACATATCTATGAAACCAGTTAAAGGTTATACATATGTTAAATAACCATTCCAGAGGTTAGCTGCAAAACTGTTGCTATGCAAAACAGCTCTCAATGGCCTGGCTCCATTCATTTCTTCCCCCCTGGGGGGGGGGGGGGGGAGGACATCTTATATGTCTCTCCAATATTCCTATACACTTTGAATTCTGGACACCATTCCAAATCCTTTTTTGCCCCCCCCCCCCCCCCGCCTCTGCTGCACCCTGTATCAGTACCACAAGTGCCCAAAACATTGCACTTGGCATTTGCAAATAGGGGAAGTCTTATGGACTTTGTTGCCTCTAAGGCAACAGGTGGATATTATTTCTCAGGTGGATAACTCTTGTAGAGTCACTTTTGTCTCTTTGTCTTTGGTAAGTCTTAGCTTCATTTACTGCCTTTGTTTTTCAGAGCTCTTCTTTCCTCTTTAGCTGATTAACCATTTAACATTTTTACCATTTAACATTACCATTTAACATTTTAACATTAACATTTAACATTAACTATTTAACCATTTCCTCTTTAGCTGATTAACCATTTAACATTTTTAACATGGTTATTATGTGGAGTTTTTAATTGTCGTTTCTAAAATGTAGTTAACTAGGATATTTAATTCATCTCAAAACATCCACTTCGCCTACTTAAACAAGTAAAGTCTGGTGGTTTTTTGCTTTCTACTCGCATGTCCCTTAGTTCAGTTCCCTGTGGACCAGGGTTCTGACCGCCCCACCCTACTCCCTCAGCTACAACTCTATTGCTCAGTTACCAAAAATCCACCACTGAAGTAGTAGTAGTGTTTTCTACCTTTGAGTGGGCTTTCAGAATATACTGTGGGTTTCTGAATGTTTGTTGGCTAATTACCTTTGAAGATCGTTTGCTTGAATATTTTAATTGTGTGTGAAAATGTGATCATTGATTTAAAACTAATGAACTGTTAGAATTTTTGGAAAGTGCTTTCCCACCACCTTCTATAGTATTTTCATATGTAGGCAGTTTTAACTTATTTTAGGGACTCATAGCCAATGGAAATTTTGTCTCTCCAGCCTTCTTTCTGTTGTTTGTGCCTTTTGAGCAACAGTATCAAAGAGAAACAAGGGGAAAGTTCAGATTGTTTTATGTACCTTGCGAAACTGTTTGGTAGGGAAGGCACATTCATCTTAGTTGTGTGTTTTATGGATCTTAAAATTTAAGGTTCCAATCTGCATGGACATTTGTCTAATAATTGCCCCTGTTCTTTTCACAGGTCACTGAAGGACCTTGTATAATGCCCAAACCAGGTGTGTTTGAGTTTATTAATAAAGCTAAATGGGATGCAAGGAATGCTTTTGGCAGACTGCCCAAGGTAAATTTATTTGTTATTTTACTTTTATTTTACTTCCTGTACTCCTAAAGGAAGTTGGGTGTTTCTCATTATCAATCCATTATAGATGGAGCATTCAAGATCTTCATGTAACTCTATTGAATCAGAACCTCTGTTCTTTCTTCATTGCAAGGTGCTACTTATCAGTATTGTAAGTTTCTCAAAATAATTATTCATTGACCTTGGGCTTAAATTATTTGTCATCTTCTCTTCAGGAAACTGCCAAGCAGAGCTATGTGGACTTGGTGTCCAGTTTGAGTTCTTCATCTACGTCCTCTAGCCAAGTGAAGCCTGTAGCAGACAGGAAACAACCGGAATATGAAAACCTGGTGGTGACCTCTGAAGATGGCATCACAAAGATCATGTTGAACCGGCCCACCAAAAAGAATGCAATCAGTACTCAGGTGACATCACCTTCCCTGAGGGTTCTTCCTCCTTTTTTTCCTTCTCCTGTTACCCTCAAAGCTCGTGTTTCAGTGTCGTTGCTATTTTTGTGTTATCTCGTTTGATTTATGCAGGAAGATTAGAAATTGCAGTTACTTCTTTATACAACAGAGCTAGGCCTCCATTATTTAGAATTTGTGAGCTTCAGGTAGGTTCTACATGTCCAAAAGGAACTATAATTTTCTCAATGGGAGAAGCACAGATAAACTAAATAAATGAAACCTACATTAATATAAGAGGATGTGTGTAGAGGTTCTTTGAGGTTGGTATAGATTGTCCCCAGAAGTATCTTCATGTCACTTAGACTTGAGAGTGAGTAATGTTCTACCTGTACGGAGCTTTATTTCCTATAAGTAGAAGGAGAAAGAAGAGAAGGACTTCATCTGAAACAGATCATAACTCGTCTCTGCTTGAAATGTGCTATTTCACAAGGGCAACTTTAGTTTCTGAGTCTGCCATTGAACTAGAATGATAGTAAAAATAATCACATTATTTCTTTCACTTTGAAACAAATTATAGGGAGTTAATTGGATGTTTGGTGCTCAACTAGTAGTAAAATTTGAGAGGGCTACAAGCCCTTTCATTGGGCTTATCATCTACATAGTAGAAAGAACATACTAACTTAAAATAGTCTTAAATAAGAATTTGATAAAGTTGAATGTGCCATTCAATTAATAAAACATTTGGTTCTCAAAACTGTCTTTCCTTTTATCCTGAGTCATTTCTATGTTATCGTAGTAATGATAGTAGTATTAGCTACTCATTACAGAGCTTAATATGTGTCAGCCCTTTTTATGCAGAGGTTTGTTTGGTTCCCACAAGGAGTCTACTGTTGTTATTTAACAATAAAACAAATAGAGTAAGTGGTAACTTGTTCAAATTCACTCAACTAATATGCAGGAGAACCTGACTTGAAACCCCAGTATATCCACCTCCTAATCCTGGCTCTTGCCAGTTAGTTACCCTGTTGTGCTGTATCATCATAACTGTAATAACACTAAAATGACTTCCTTGTTCCCTCCCTCAATGGAAATGATTTTGTCTTTATTCATATATTTTGAAGTTTATGCATTCTTTTCTTAGTGTCTGTGTATCTATGAATATCAGCCCTCCTCATCATTCTCTTCCACACTGTAGAAACTGCACCTGTGTTAAATGCATGAAAAGCTACATATCCAAGATTTTCAGAAATGTCGCTGATTTAAAATATTGGGCCTGTTGGGCTTCACTATCCTTACAGTGTCTTAGAAATCCCAGCCTTTTAAAATACTCATTAATATTTCCCAGACTGCCTGGGATATTTGTGTTCTTTCTTGAGGTTGCAGTTGAAAAAGTGCTTTGAGGAAATTTTACTCTGGCCACCTCCCATTCTGTCTACCCTACATAAGTATCAGCTACTTCTCTGAGCGCCCCTGCTACTTTGTACTTCCCACCCAGTTTAGAGTTATCTCTTCTATTAATTCCAAAGGCTCAAGGATTGCATCTTACTTTTGGCAAAAAATGGAACTTTGGCTAGGTGGCTCAGTTGGTTGGAGTGTCCCGAAGCAACCAATTGATGTTTCTCTCTTTTCTTCTCTGTCTAAAATCAGTAAACATATCCTCGGGTGAGGATTTAAGAAAAAAGTGCATGTATTCTCCCAGCATCTACTATAGCACTTAGTACATAATACAAGTAATTGTAAAAGGAATGACAGTTCTTTCGAGTTCATTGGGCTAGTTTTTTGATCACTTAAATACAACCAATATAAATGTTTGGCACTTTGCAGAGAACAGGCTTGCAGACTGGCATTTAGGGAGTCTACTGGGTGATGGTTATCATTTTCAGGGTTTCTTTTCCTCTTTTCCCCCCTTTTATACAGATGTATCAAGAAATCATTCTTGCACTTAAAGCTGCAGGCAAGGATGACTCAGTCCTAACTGTTTTAACAGGTAAGACATTTTCTTAAATTATTTTTTTAAGCAGGAGAAAACCAAAGACTAATATATGTGCATGGGGAATCCACATAGACATGATAAATCCATGAAAATTTCAAAGACAGTGAAGCAACATTGGGTAAAGAGGACATTTTGGACAAAGGATAAAAAGGAGGTAATGGCATATTAGATTTCAGAAGTGAGAATGGGTGATTTACAAGTAGTTGAAGAAGAACAGAACCTTTCTTAAGTTCCTTAATTAAATATTTATTTTGAGGGACTTCCTACTAGATAGGAAATTAACTATATAAGCTCTAAGATCTTTTTGGGTACTAGATACTCTAATTCCTAAATATATGAAAAATTTAATAGACACAAAGCTGATATCTATAAAAAGCAGATGTATATTGGTAAGAAACATACTATTGGTACTAAAATTGGGTATTTAACAAAGGGAAAGGTCTTAATGTAAGAAAGATAATCTTTGAAGCATTACTTAGAGTTGTGAAAATGTGAAAACATTCTAAATTAGGGAGTTCCGGCCAAGATGGAGGCATAGTAGAAATGTTTTGCTTTCTCACACAACCAAAAGAAGGATAACATTGAATTTAAAAACAGTAAACAACCAGAACTGCCAGAAAGTCAAACATCATGGAACTTCGAGAGCCAAGGAATTAAACAAACATTCATTCAGACTGGTGTGTTGAGACAAAGAAATATGGCCCAAATGAAATAACAGATCAAAACTCCAGAAAAAGAACTAAGTAACGAGGAGATAGATAACCTCTGATGCAGAGTTCAAAACACTGGAAATCAGGATGCTCACAAAGTTGATTGAGCTTGATTGCAAAATGAAGGAAGAAAGGAAGGCTATACAAAGTGAAATAAAGGAAAATGTGCAGGGAACCAACATGAAGAGAAGGAAACTGGGATTCAAATCAATAATTTGGAACAAAAGGAAGAAATAAACATCCAATTAGAACAGAATAAAGAAAGAAGAATTCAAAAAAATGAGGAAAGGCTTAGGAACCTCTGGGACAACTTTAAGTGTTGCAACATCCAAATCATAGTGCTGCCAGAAGGAGAAGAGGAAGAGCAAGAAATTGAAAACTTATTTGAACACATAATAAAGGAAAACTTCACTAATCTGGTGAAGAAAATAGACTTCCAGGAAGCCCAGAGAGTCCCAAAGAAATTGAACCCAAGGAGGAACACACCAAGACACAATTGATGCGGGCACTGGCCTCAGTGTCTGCAGCGTTATGGATGAGATACAAGACAAATTCACATGGACTACCGAGTCCTGTGGAGGAAAAGGGACAGCATGGCTACCCTCTTAAAAGGAGAGGACGAGTGCCCTTGCTTCGACAGGCTTTTATTGGGTTCAGTATGCACAGGAATACAGGTAAAGCTCATTAATCATTGTCAGGCAGTAAGGATCAAATAATAGGTAGCATACGAAGAACTACAAGGGCTTATTCTGAGTCAGGGTCTGTGAGCTAAAGGGCTAGAAAACTTTGAGAAACAAACTCATTTCCTGCTTGGACCCTTATATTTAATTGAGAGCATTCTTAGCAAAGCAGGTTTCACAGGATTTTATATATTCTTTCTCAGGCCTGATCACCTAGGGAACCTACCCTTTCCAGTACAGGGCTAGACTGCCCTCTGTCATTTTTTCAGGCTTAAGTCAGGCAGGGGAAATGAGGCAGCCAAGAGATTAGGAGACTTCTCCCAGACAGAATGAGGATTGGGCTATGTCAAAGCTGAGGGGCAAGGGTCCATCACCCCTTTTAGTTATAGCCCCCTAAGTCCTTCCCTGGGACCTCCCCATGATCATGCCTGTCTTAAGTTGTTCCTCCCTTGAGGATTCCTACCCATCATTGGCTAACCGATCAAGCATTGGGGGTCAGGTGGGGTGAAGTAAAGGGGGCAGAAGCAACACTTCTGCCAGGGAGATAAGCTTTGTCTCCTTAGTGGCTTATGGTCCAAAGCTCACTCACTCAGCCTTAGCCTTGGGGGGGTTACAGCTTCTGAAACCAGGCAGGGTGGTTCCCAGCATACAACATAATTAAGTTGCCCAAGATTAAAGGTAAGGAGAGAATCTTAAAAGCAGCAAGAGGAAAGGAGAGAGTTACCTACAAAGGAATTACCATAAGGCCATCAGCAGATTTCTCAAAAGAAACCTTACAGGCAAGAAGAAGCTGGAAAGAAGTATTCCAAGTCATAAAAGGCAAGGACCTACATCCAAGATTGCTCTATTCAGCAAAGCTATCATTTAGAATGGAAGGGCAGATAAAATTCTTTCCAGGTAAGGTAAAGTTAAAGGTGTTCATAATCACCAAGCCCTTATTATATGAAATGTTAAAGGGACTTATCCAAGAAAAAGAAGATCAAAACTATGAACAGGAAAATGACAATAAACTTACCACTATCAATAACGGAACTTAAAAAAAAAACAACCAGAATAGGAACATAAATACAGAAATGGAGATCAAATGGAGGGTTATTAGTGGGGAGAGGGGGAGAGGAAAATAGGGGAAAAGGTACAGGGAATAAGAAGCATAATTAGTAGACAAAGTAGACAGGGGGAGGTGAAGAGAAGTATAGGAAATGGAGAAGCCAAAGAACTTATACGTACAACCCATGGACATGAACTAAGGACGGGGAAGAATGCTGGAGGGTGGGGGCGTGCAGAGCAAAGGGGGGATATAGGGAAGAAAAAATTGGACAACCATAATAGCATAGTCAATAAAATATACTTTAAAAAAGAAAACATTCCAAATTATGTTGCCATAATAGCATAATAAAGCAAATTACAGAATAGCCACTACTGTAAATAAGACAAGCATTAAAAAGTATAATTGTGGAAAGGCCAATAATACAGAAAATAAGGTATAATAAAAAACATTAGAAATTATGTCAGTGCTGTGATTATAACTGGAAAATATGATGGATGCCCATGGACCTGAGTGGGTGAGAATAAGGAAAATGAAGGTTTGGATTTGGAAGGGGCACCATGCTTAGTGGGGACTGAGATCAACTTGAGGTTAAATTCTGGATTCATGCCTTACTACCTATGGGTGACCTCTCGTTCCGAATGGAGAAGGCAGTGTTTTATTAACCCCATTGAAGTGGTTGAGAAGATGACATGAGATAATGCAGGTAATGGGCATGGCACACAGCAGAAACTTGTTAGAAGTTGGCTTGGCAGAAGCAGAAGTGATTTTTCCCCATTATCATTAAAAGTTGTAAAATAAGTATTATCTAGAGGTATCAGATAGCTTTTATTAAGAAGGAGAGAGGAAGAGAGAGAAATCTAATAGCTGATTCTAGGGGACAAATGAAAGCAAAGAGTCGAAGACAGCCCTCATAGTCCATGTGAATGCCCAGGTAACTAAGGAGAGTGAAGATGAGAAAAACAGTAGTCTAGAAGTAGCATTTGTTCAATACCAGAGAATGATTGATATTTTTTAAACTGTTTTTAACACAAGTATAATATAAGCACATGGTTTTTACAAAACCAAAATGTATGAAAAGTACATGACAAAACTAAATCTCACTCTCCGTGGAACCCCAGTCCTGCTCCGTAGGAAAGTTCAGTTCCCCTTGATGCCTTTCAGGAAGTGTCTGTGTACATACTGTGCAAACAGTGTATGTTAGTTTTCCTCCACTTTTTTTTAAAACAGAAAAGGAAGCATGTAATACATGAATATTATACCCAACTTCCTTAACATTTCCTGAAAACCTGTTTCATCTGTACCTGCACATTTTTCTCTTCAGGGCTACAAAGTATTAAATTTTTTGGATTTTATCATTGCTTTTATCATTCCCCTATTGAGGAACATGTAGATTATACTTACTCTCTTGCTTTTAAAATGGTGTTGCAGCCACAGCCTCAGTTGGTTGGGCTCAGGTGGTTATAGCATCATCCTGTAATCCAGTGGTCCCCCAACTTTTTTTTGGCACCAGAGACCAGTTTCATGGAAGACAATTTTTCCACAGAAGCGGGGTATGGTTTCAGGATGCGTCAAGCACATTACATTTCAAACTCACCACCTGCTGTGTGGCCCAGTTCCTAACAGGCCCAGCCCAGCACCACTCCATGGCCCAGAGGTTGGGGACCCCTGCTGTAATCGAAAGGTTGTGAGTTTGGGCCCTGGTCTGGGTGTGTACAGTAGGCAACCAAATGATGCTTCTCTCTCGCATTGATGTTTCTCTCTCTTCCCTCCTGTCCCTCTAAAAGCAATGAAAAATATCCTTGAGTGAAAATAAAAATTAAAAGGTGTTGCAATGAATAAATTTGGATGTATGTCTTTCAACTAACATGCAAAATATCTATAGCAATAGATTTATATTACTAAATTTTAGTAATACTAAGTACTAGTATTACTAAATATTGGTAGTATTACTAAGTACTAAATATTAGTACTACTAAAAGTAAAATTCTGAGTTTAGTAACAATGATCATGTTTAATAGTTATATACTGGTAATACTTTCTGATGGCCAGGCACTCTAAACACTTTAATTCTCTTTATGTTTTTCTTTTAATTTTTTAATTTTTCTAAGCTTTCTTGCAAAAACCCTATAAGAGTAGGCCCTATTATTTATTACTCTACTTTATAGGTGAGAAAATTGAAAGATTAAGTTTTGAGAAATAGTGCTTTTATTAGTTATTTTCTATACTTTTGGCTTCTATTTCCTCTGATCTAGGCATTACTTAATAATAGTTTCTTTAATTTCTAGAAAGTTTTCATTTCTGTTGTTAACTCCTAGCTTTATTCATTATAATCAGTGATGATCAGTTTTACTAGTTTTAGTTTTTTAGAGTATATTAAACTTTAGTGTATATTGCTATCTATTGATATCTCTGTCTTGAAGGTAAAGTAGAAAATGGCCAATTTTTTTAATCATCCAGAACTTCAAAAGTAAGTTCCATGCTATTTTACATGTGGTAATCTATAATATAATAAATTATGTGAAAAAAATTTAAGTTTTTCTTTACTCTTAAGGTACAGAATTTAAAATATGTCAGTTGGACTTGTCTTTCTGATTTATGTGTTTAGATTCCCCAAATTCTTTTTTTTTTTTCTTATAGTGACTCTGTCTTGGGCTGAAAAAAATGAATTGGGGGCATCTATTACTATTGTGTTTCTGTTAGTTTCTCCTTTGTGTCCAAAAAAAAAAAAGCTTTTGCTTTAAAGTAAGTTTTGTCTTAATGATATTGAAAGATTTATGGTTAGACCTTCACTGTGGAGTTTATTCTTTATTACCAAATGGCCATGTAGCTTATTTAATGCTTTTCGCATTGAAAAAACAACCTTGTCAAATATTAATACAACATCTGCTTCAGTACTGTTTACACTTGTCTGCAAACCTGTACCCATTTTTTAACTTTACATTTTTTCTGGATTATTTTTTTATTGGCTGTGTTTCATGCAGATGTTTTTGGGTTTTCCTCCTTTGATGCAATCTTTTTCTTATATAGGTGCATTCACCTGTTTAGACTAGTGCATATGACAGAGATGTTTTAGTTTGGGTGTCTTACATGCTTTCTATTTATAATGCTTTCTTTGTTATTTTTTATTTCAGAGTCTGTATTTCTTTTTGTTTGTGTTTTACTTCTCATAGTTTGGAAGTTTTTTACTGCTTTTAGCAATTACTTTCATGGGTTTATGTGGTACACATCAACATCTGTAGCTTGTATCATTCCCTTTGGACAGCATTTGTTGGTTGTCTCTATGAAGGCCAAGGAAGTGAACACGAATGTCCTGACATCCCTACACCTCTCTTCCAAGTGTATGGTCTGTTAAATAAAGCCCCTATTTTTCTGGCATTGAATGTTGCTGGGGAGAAGTTTGAGGCTACCATTAATTTTGTTTTTTAACCCTTAAAAATGGTCTTAAGATAATTTTTTCTCTTAGATGGCCATGGGATCCTTTCCCATTTTTATCACTTTTTCCTAGGTAATGCATAGATTTTAAAAACTGATTATTAAGGCCTTATTTTAAGTTTTCTTTGATAATATCTCCAAATGTTTTTGTTTCAACTGATCTGTTCTCTTTGAAAGAAATTCTGATTATGAAAAAGAAATGTCTGGTCTGCTGAGTCTGTTACCTATTATTTTCTCTGAATTCTTAACTCTGTTCTCTTCCACTTATTTTGCTCAGTTGTCTCAATCCTGTACTCCAGTACCCTCATTGCATTTATAGCAATGTCCCTTCTTCTTCTGCTCCTTCTGATGGCATCATTTTTTAATGGTTATGGTCTTCTCTTTTATTTTTTTCAGAACTCTCAGGCACCATTCCTTTTTTTTTTATGGTTCATCACTCAAAATAAAGTCCTGTGGAGTGTCCTGCTACACCAACACGGGAATCACTGGCATATATATACGACTATTGTTGAAGCGTGGGCATAAACGAGAGGGTCCAGGGAGGACACAGAGCAAGGAAAGAAGAGTGCCTGGGGTTCAATCTTCAGGAACCTCCGATTTGATGGCCACATTTGACTTCTATTTTGAGTCCACAGGACAGGTCAGCTCTTAATGTATTGTGTATATATATGGAAGATCACCATAAATTTTTTGGAATAGATTAATTGTTCATAAAATTATTGAAAATAATATTTATGACACTATTTGTTTCTGGTGGAAACAGGAAAAAAATTGAGGAATAAATTTATTATATAATAATAGTACTGAAGTTAAATATAGCTTTGCTTTTAGTACCTCACATATAACTGTGTAAAGCCCTACTACAAAAAGAAATGTTCATTCTTTAAATCTTATCTTTGAAACTAGCCCATTCCAGTGCAATCTCCATTTTTTGCTTTGGCCTTTCCAGACGTTTGTATAATTAAATTCTCAGATATTTTTTTAGGCTTTATCTGACTTCCCCTCCTTCTTAAGCTCTGTCTTCCCTAGGTTCGGGTGGCAGAGCCTGCCCCTGATTTCTCCCTGTCCCTGGTTGCACCCTCTAATCTCCCTTGCTGGTTCATCTTCTCTGTGGCCATCAAATCGGAGGTTCCTGAAGATTGAACCCCAGGCACTCTTCTTTCCTTGCTCTGTGTCCTCCCTGGACCCTCTCGTTTATGCCCACACTTCAACAGCAGTCGTATATATATGCCAGTGATTCCTGTGTTGGTATCTCAGGACACTCCCACAGGACTTTAGCCTGGTGTACCCACCTGGTACTTCTTAATGGGTGTCACCTCCCACATCTCTCTGCCTGGATCTTTTTCAGTTTTCGAAATCACAGTGGTGGTTCCGCATCTGCACTATCATGTAGATCAGAATGCTAACATTCGTTATTGACCCTTGGCCCTTCCTCGCTTCCCACGTCTAGTCTAATCTCATTTCACTTTATGAATATCTCTAGAATCAGTTCTTTTTTTTTCTGCCTTCTCTGCACTAGTACAAGCCACCATGGACTCTTGTCTGAAATGGTGAGTCCCTGTTTAGTCTCTCTGATCCTCTTTTGCCCTCCTTTCTCCCATGCACAGTGTACTCTTCACTATACTCAAAACTCTTAAGTGGCACCAAGGCAATCAGTGGAGAAAGAAAATCATTTAACAAAACGATGCCAGAACAACTAAGTTTCCATATGGGGGGAAATGAACTTCAGTGCTGTCTTACACCCTACACAAAAATGAATTTAAAAATTATCTAAACATAGAACATAAATAAAGCTTCTAGAACAGAAGGTCATCCTGTGACCTTGGAGTAGGCAAGGACAGAAAAAAGTATTAACCATAAAAGAAACAATTTACAAATTAGACTATCAAAATTTGAAATGTCTGCTTATCAAAAGACAATAGTAATAAAATGAACATAAAGCTACAAGCTGGGGAAAAATATTTGCTATGCATAAATCTGATTAAGGACTAATATTCAGAATACATAAAGAATTCCTACAAATTATTAAGATGAACTTCCAGATTTAAAAACCTGGATAAAAACTTAGACCTTTCATTAAAAAAAAAATGAAAAGGCGCTCAATGTCATTAATCATCCAAGAAATACACATTAAAACTACAGTGTAATATGTCACCCACTAGAATGGCTAAAATCCAAAAACAAGCAATACCAAATATTGGTGATAATGTGGAGCAACCAGAGCCCTTAGGCATTTCTGATATGAGAACACTTTAGAGTGTTAGTCGGCAACTTGTTAGAGTTACACATCAGCTCAGTGACACACCGATCCACGCCTAGGCAATTACTGAAGGTAAATTAAGGATATGTCTATTAAAAAATTGTACAAGAACAATCGTGGTACCCTACTTCACAGTAGCCAAAAATTGAAAACAACAAAAGGTCCACCAGTCAATCAGTGGATGAATGAACATGTGGACTATTCATACAATGGAATGCTGCTCAGCAATAAACGGGAGTGAATGTCCGATACATACAAAAACACGGTGAATCTGATTTAAAGGATGGTTGAGCAAAGAAGGCAGACACAAAAAAGTAGATATTGTGTTGTCTTATCCAAGTTCTGTATAGGCAAAACGATGGAGACTGAAGCCAGAGAGCCTCAGGACAGGATGAGGTGGTATTATGTCTGCAAAAGAGCTTGAGAGAACTTTTTCTGGGGTGATGGAAATGTTTTATCTCTTGTTTTGGATTGTGATCACACAGGTATTTACGATGATCAGATATCACTGAACTGAGTCTTTAAAACTGGTCATTTTATTGTATGTATTATACTTTAAAATAAATAAAAAGAAAACACCACCTTGGCTCTTCGAAGGAAGGAGCTACAAAGACTCGAGTGCTGTGTCCTGCTTATCCTCATCCTACACCAGCTTCTTCCCCGGGGCTTCTCCTGCTCTGGCACAGTGGCACTGCTTTGAACTCGTCATAACCACCGGGGCTACCCTCTCCACAGAACCTTGGCGTGTGCTATTTCCTCTGCATGGATATTCTTCCCACACCTTTTTTTCTAGCTAACCTTGCCTGTCCTTCAGATCTCAGTTCAGTTGTTCTTCCTTAGAAAAGTCCCTTACCTAAGCTCCCCAGTTAGACCAAAGCCCCTGTGAAATACACGTACATCATCATCATGTACCTCTCCTTTGTATCCTAGTTGTATTGCTTACATTTATCAATGTGTTATAAGATCAGTGTCTTTTTTACTCGTTAATCTGTACATTGGGGCAAGAACGAGAGCTGGGTCACCAGTGTGTTTCCAGTGCTTGGCATAGCCTGGTACATAGTAGATACTCAGTAATTATAGAATGAATAAATGGTGAGTTTGTGATTTTAATTACAGGAAATGGTGACTATTACTGTAGTGGGACTGATCTGACTAACCTCAGTATTACTCCTGGTGGAATAGAGGAGAAAATTAAAAATGAACTTGTTTTACTGAGGTAAGAGTACCATTTGTCTGATCCTAAAGGGCTCATCTGTATTCATCAAACTGGCATTTAGTTAAACAAAAGTAAAATAAGTATTTTTTGTGTCAGTGTAATTAATTGTGACCTTGAACATACATATTTCTCCAGACTGCCTCTTTCAATAGGTAGTCATTCATTCTATCACTTTAACTTCTGTTACCTGCTCATCCTGCTGTCCTACATAAGATTGGATTGGAAAGCATAAAACTAAACTGTAGTAAATAAGGTAAATAGAATTCTCTCATATTGAAGCAGAGGAGTTTAGCAAATTACCATCCAGCCAGAGGAATGCATGACTTCTATGATTACTGGTTAGAGAAGACTGAAGTAGTCTCAAAAAGCACAGAAGATGTAAGGCTTCTCTCTTCCTATTTTGTTTATCCTTGCTGAGCCTGCCCCTCTGAGTTCTAATATTGCAGTGTATACTTAGTCTTCCATCTTAATCTCTAAGTCTACAGCTGGGTTACAGTCCTGACCTAACTTCCCAGAATACAATATTTAAACCAAGGTCAAATTATAGGGCTCACTGTGAGCTTCCATCAGCTGCCATTCAGATGGGTGTCCTGGATGAATCTGGTGTGACAAGAGGGGAGGCACTTGGTGATGTAGAAACACCCAGCCTAGCCAGAAACTGTTGTTATTCTAGAGTCCTGCTGTCTTGCCTATACTTCAGTAATGCTGCTTTGGAACATTTAAACATGCTTTTGTATTTATTTGTAGGAATTTTGTAAACAGTTTTATAGATTTTCCTAAGCCACTGATTGCAGTGGTAAATGGTCCAGCTGTGGGAATCGGCGTCACCATCCTTGGGCTGTTCGATGCTGTGTTTGCCTCCGACAAGGTAAGTTAGTTCCCAGAAACTTATTAATGCAAGTAAAAATGAGATCCTTTGAATTCTCCTTTATTGTTGCTTGTAGTAAAACAGATGTTTTTATTGTTGTTGTTGAATGGGCTAAATTTAAATTTTTCCAAAGAATTATTCTAATTTGACTCATTTTATTTTGAGTTTTTAAGTTGAATTTTTCTAAACATCAGTATTGTTGTGAGCATTGTCTCAACTCTTGTTTCTATATTTTAATCTAATTATGCAACAAATTTAATTTTTATAATACTGTAAGGTCCAGAGACCTTGAAAGCTTGTTGGAGGAGAGGAGAGTAGAATCTTTGCAGGTTATACTAGTGGATTATTTGATACTTTTTTCCCTAAGTAAATGAACTCTAGAATTTAGAATTTTAGAATATGAAGACAACATTTGAGCATTATCAACTCTCACTCCCTCCTTTGCAGATAAGAAAATGTAAGCTCAGAGAAACTTGCCCAAAACACAATTTAGTGTTGTGTTCACCATTGAATTACATAGACTTTAATTTCTATTCTTACTTCAGTATATGTCACAGTAGAAAATAAAACTTTGAAAAATACGGAAAAGTACAAAGAAAAAAGTTAAAAATCATCTCTGACCACTCAGAGATAACCAGTGCTAATGTTCTTTTTTTATTATTTTTAAAATATGTTTATTGATTTTAAAGAGAGAGGAAGGGAGAAACATTGATGTGAGAGAGAAACATCAACTGGTCACCTCCTATACACACACCAGTAGGGAATTGAACCCACAACCTAGGGATGAGCCCTGACTGGGAATCGAACCTGCAACCGTTTGGTGTATGGGGCGACTTCTCAACCAGCTGAGCCACACTGGCCAGAGCAACGTTTGAGTTACTTAACTTATTAATTTAACCAGTCTCTGACTGTTGGAACCCTTGACTGTTCCCAATTTTTGTCCTTACAAGCAAGTATCTGATGAACATTTATCTTAGAGCTCTTACCCTAGAACGTTCACTGTGGAACTAATAACCACTTGTAGGGTTATCTGACTTTAGAGTGACACTTGCTTACGTGATGGTAAGATTTGCTGATCTACAACCTGGTGGGAAACTTGTGGTTTTTACCACTCACAAGATTCCTGGTTGTGTTCGGAGGTGTTTTCCCCACTGACTGATACATGGGACTGCATAATAATGCCCTTCACTCTTTGGTTTGTCTTTTACTGCATCCCACTTAACCAGGTGGGCAAGTTGGCATATCTGATTCTTACTAATAATTTTCCCATAATGGGAGCAAATGAAATCCTAGGAGCTACAATGCCTAACTTTTATAGGTGGAAGTTTCTGCTCAAAGGCAGAAGTCAATAGTGCTTGGTCACATTATTTGTGTTAAATGACCAATTAATTGACCTGCTTTGAACAGACATGGCATGAGGAATAACGTGGCCTGAATTTGGGGGTCTCATTCTTCACTACTTATAGGGGAAATATTATATTTGAACCTTGTCCTGATTGACCCACTGTAATCAAAATGACTGTCATATACATTATTTTTTTAAGATTTCTAGGACTTCCATTTTCTTATGTAAGTTGGAATTAAAATGAAATCAGAGAACATATATGTAAATATATATTTAAAATACACTTAATATATTAAATACAAATGTAAACATATACATGTTTTTAATGCTGAGATTTGGCCCAAAGTAAAATATCTCACAAATAGTGACTATTGTTAAGAGTTCACCCAAATGAATTAAAACAGGTTTTAATTTTAAATTAGGGAAAGATGCAGAAGAAAGAACCAGTAGACCAGTAGAGAGGAATTCTTTTTATAGGATTTATCATTATTACCTTCATGAATAAATACCATATTTAATGGGGATTAACATTTAACCCATAGAACCAAATTATTCTTTATTATGAGTAATAGTGAATTCTTACTAGTTTCTCCATCAGCAAATGGTACCTTTATTGTACAAGTTAGTAAAAAAGTTGAAATCATAAAAATGATAAATATTTGAATAGTCACTCTGTAATAGGCACTCTGTTGGTGTGCAGCGCAACATTTACGTAACGCCCAGGCAGCCCTGTGGCAGGGGCCCTCAACCCCAGTCCGCAGACGGGCTTGCTGGCACAGATTGGTTAAGGAATGCACAGAGCCACTAAGCAGTCTGACACCAAAGCATCAGACTAAACCGTTAGCTACATCTACGGCTCCATTTCTACAGATAAGCTAAATGCTTGCCTACAACATGCTTATTATAAGTTAAATGCTGCTTATCATCAACTGTGTATGTACCTGTTTGTGGTTTTCTTGTTTCAGTTTACTGCTATGTTTCTTAGGCTGTGACTTCTCAGTATGTTTTCCTGAATAAGCTTTCTTTTGGGGGAGAAGGGAGAGAAAACATTGGTAACATTTTATTTTATGTTTTTACTATTTTGAGCGATATGCTGTGTACATTATATAATTACATCTTTTAACAATATTCATTAAAATAAAAACATCATATATGATTATGGGAAATGAAGCCCAAATATTGTTTATATATCATCAGTATTCATCAAGAAACAGCAATATTTCTGAAATATTAAAAAAACAAACAATGACTATATTTTAAATAACCAATATTAAAATAGTTTCTAGTATTTAAAGCCAGTCAAAAAACCTCTGGGGCAGAATTTAGACAGATGACATTGAGAAAACTTTTTTTATTCACATAATAATGGCTAATCTCTCTAATATATTTTTAAAATGCATCTAAAAAGTGATAGGTCAACAACTTAATATAAAAATAGATGATGGAGAGACATAAGTAGCCTACAGAAAATAAAGTATAAACAGCTCTTAAAAACATACAAGGAAGACACCATTGAGAAAATGATTATTAACCAGAATATATAAAGAATTTTTACAACTCAATAATAAAAAGATAAACTATCTAACTTAAAAATAGTGGGCAAAGTACTTATAGTAGTTACTTCACCAAAAATGTACAAATTACTAATAAGTTTATGAAAAGATGCACAATGTTATTAATCATTAGGGAAATAAATGTAAACTGAAACCACACGAAGATACCACTACGTACCCACTGAAACAGGTAAAGTTAGAAAGACCGATACTAACAAGGTTTAGCTAGGATGTGGAGCAACTGGAACTCAGGCATTGCTAATGGGAATGTTAAATGGTACAACAATTTGGAAATAGTTTAGCAGTTTCTTATAAAGTTAGACCATATGTTTACTGCACAACCCAACAATTCCTCTCCTAGCTATTTATCCATAACTATTGAAAACATGTTCCTGCAGAGACCTGTACACAAATGTTCATAACAACCTTATTTATAAAGGCCAAAAGACTGGAAATAACCCTGATGGCTTGAGCTAATGCAAGGCCGAACAAATTAAGACATTCATACTACTTGAAATAGCAAGGGACAAACTAGTAACACACACAACAAACAATGACTCTCAGAAGTCATTAAGAATGACTCTCAGAAGTCATTAAGAATACTACTTGAAATAGCAAGGGACAAACTAGTAACACACACAACAAACAATGACTCTCAGAAGCCTTATGCTCAGGATGAAAGCCTTACACAGTATAAGATCCCATTTATATAACTTTCTAGAAAAGTCCGTTTTAGGGACACATATATCAGAGGTTGTTTGGGGTGAGAGGAATGAATGACTGCAGAGGGACACAAGGGAACTTTCAGGGATGATGGGAATATTCTGGATCTTGATTTTGGTGGTGTCTACATAACTATATATTTGTTAAAACTCATCAAACTGCATACATTCAAAGAGTGAATTTTGTAAGTATATAATACCACAATAATCCTAATTTTTAAAAATTTATTTATTTTTAGAGAGAAGGGAAGGGAAGGAGAAAGAAAGGGAGAGAAACATCAATGCGTGGTTGCCTCTTGCACACCCCCTGCTGGGGACCTAGTCTGCAACCCAGGCATGTGCCTTGACTGGGAATCGAACTGATGACCCATTGCTTCACAGGCCCGTGCTCAACCCACTGAGCTATATCAGCCAGGGCAATAATACTAATTTTTTTTAAAAAGTTTCTCAACTAAGTAAGTAATGATTTTTTTTAAATCACTTGAAAAGTTACTTATTTACTTATTTTTCTCTAAATAGGCAACATTTCATGCTCCTTTTAGTCAACTAGGCCTAAGTCCAGAAGGATGCTCTTCTTACACTTTTCCGAAGATAATGGGTCCTGCCAAGGTAACCTTTGGAAACCTTGAAAAATAAGTTTTAATGACTCATCTCCATTCCACAAGTAATACTCTCTCTTTTTTCACTTGATAATTCAAACAAAAGAGAAACAAGTCATCTGCTCCTCAACTCCTAAGAGTCTTAAATATGAAAAACCAGCCTATGGGAAATGTCTGGTATGGAGGGAAATTAGAAACTGTCTCTGCAGCTCCCCAAATCGGGGAAACTGATCGTTCAGCCAGCTGCTGAGTGCCAGAGGCATCACAAGTGGCACAGCTGCATCCTCCACAGCTGGGTGGTATTCTTCAGGTGAAGGACCAGGGCTGCGCCAACCTCCCTCAGTCTACGGGGCTCATTCCTCTTCTTAAATTCTTCCTGGATAAGCATCATCTGCTGAAAGTGATACAGTGGCATCTTTATTTCCAGGATCATGTGAAGTACCAGTAGATGGAGGCCCCAGGGGGTTTTCCACTTCCAGTCAACAGCTGGTTTTAACTGGGCACTAAGGCTCCTAGAGCAGTTAAGTGGCTGCTCAGACCTGTCACTGAGTTTATGGAAACATAATTGCCCAAACTCTGTGTACATGGTTCCAAAGGGGTCATGACAAGGCTGGAGAGATGGGCATGGGGAAAGGCTCAGCAAACATTCTTCAAGACCTGAAAGGGAGTAGGAATTGAGCCTATTTTCATTGCTCTTAGGGTTTTGTTGTAAATGTATATATTTTCAAATCTCTTTATTCTGTTACATGCTGAGTTCACATTTCAAAGTTAATTTCTTAGTCTTTCTTGCCTTTCATTTCAGGCAGTAGAGATGCTTGTTTTTGGAAAGAAGTTAACAGCAGAAGAAGCTTGTGCTCAAGGACTTGTTACTGAAGTTTTTCCTGATAGTACTTTTCAGAAAGAAGTTTGGGCCAGGCTGAAAGCATATTCAGAGCTCCCTGCAAATGTTAGTATTCCTTTTTTTGTTTTCTTACTTGTATGAAACATGGAAATAATCTATTTACCTTAAGAGAATAAGCAAGCCAAAAAAATACCTTGCTTGGCTTTGAGTACATCTAAATTTGCAATTAAAAATAACTGTAATAATGTTAGCAATTCTGATTTTTACAAAAACTTATCAAATAGGCATTCCATTTCTATGGTACGAAGGCAGAGGGGCAGTTCCTTATGGAGAAAACTTTGAGGAGAATTATAGGCAGTATTTGCCAAACACTTTTAGTCTTTTATTTAGTTGAGAAAGTAGATAAGATAGGTTGAATTTTTAGGAAATTCTTAATGTAGCACTTTGTTTTCATATGTGATAGATAGCTAGTGACTGATGGCTCTTACATTTTTGTTGCTCAGAATTGTGGTCCTGGAACCAGAAGCTTTAGTACCTAAGGTGATTTGTATGCACATTAAAGTTTGAGAAGCACTTTCTGATATTACGCATAGACCATAATGTATAACTGGTTTAAATGAACAATGAAGAAACAAGAATTAGAATTTTAGAATACTCCCACTCTATTAGGATACCTCTTAAACCTATCGTTGTTTTTCATTTTTTATAGTCCATGAGAATTTCAAAACAGATCATCAGAAATATGGAGAAAGAAAAGTTACATGCTGTTAATGCTGAAGAATGTAGTGTCCTCCAAGAAAGATTCTCTTCTGACGAATTCATAAATGCAGTCATGAACTTCTTAGGCAGAAAAGCAAAACTGTGATGACTACTAGAGGAAAGTTAAAAGTTTCAAGGAATAGATGTGCTATGATTTCTGATTTCTAATACTTGAACTAAATGAACTTCACTGTGCCTTTTTCAGTGATGAATTATGATTTATAATGATTCACTAGAGCCCTAATGAAAACTTAAATAAGCTTTAAGAATTTACATACGTTTGCCCTGGCTGGATATTCCTGTTAATTAGAGCATCATCCTGATATGCCAAGTTGCACGTTCAGTCCCCAGTTAGGGCACATACAGTCCATAAATGAGTCCATAAATAAGTGGAACAAAATTGATATTTCTGTCCCCTCCCCATTCCTTCTCTCTCTAAAAAGCCATAAATTTTTTAAAAATTTAAAGAATTAACATAAGTTTCATGTTGAACTCCTGACTCCAGTAGGAGCGTGGGAGCTGTGTGGGGCCACAGTCCTCTCCACCCCAGGTTGCCACCTCTGCCCTCTCCATGTGCAAGGCCTCGGTGCCCCTGCTGCTGCTCCCACCCTGCCCAGGAGTCAGTTGATCATATTGCATTTGATGACACCTAACTAGTAGTTCTCTGCTGGGATAGTGCTGTCACTTAATGGTGTTTGGGAGTGCTGGGCCATATTTTTGGTTTTCATGGTGTATTTAGTGAGCATGGCCAAATATGGTAACATTCTGTGTGCAAGGGACAATCACACCAAATAAAGAATTCTATCCAAAACACCCACAGTGTTGTTTCTTTATTGAGAAACATGTTCAACCTGGCAATTTTAGAATTCCACATCTAATTTTTATTCACCAGAGTTACCAAAGTCCAAAGATGCATTTTCAGAATTACCACTACTAGACAATCTGAATTTTGTAGTTTTGTTGCATTTATCTTAGATCCCCACTTGTGGGAATGGTTTCTTTCCCATAAGAATGCTGGTGGAAATTGTGAAGCAGCTAATTGACTCTCCTGCTACACTGATGCCATGATAAACTTTTCGTAAAAAAATCGCTGAGGTAACTGCAATTTTGCAAAGTAGCCAGGTTCATATAAAAGGTGCCCTTGTTCCTAACACTCCTTTTTATCCTTTTTTTCTTTAACAAAATCACTATTAAGTATTTTACATAAATAACCAATGGGAAGGGGTGGCAGCATTTCTGTGATGAAAAATGAGTGTCTACCAGGAAATCTGGAGAACTAACTTTGTTTCCTAGGATTCCAATGTGTAGTTTGCACTCTTACCTATGAGGAGCTTTCTGACGTGATTATTTATTGTATTTCAAACTAAAGTTTCAAGCACCTACATTAATTATTTTGCATCATGTGCAGAATAATTTTTAATGTCAGATACAATGTAGTGTACATACTGCTTTTGTGGTTTAAAGTTTTTTTCAATAACAGTATATTTTGTGAGCCTTAAATAGATGGCATTATCACTTTATTGTTTTTTAACAATTTTTTCTTAGTTTTTCTATTGTACTGTTATCCTAATTTGACAAGTCCTAAGCCAAAACCTTGTATAATCTTTGGAAGATTAATTTTACTCTAATTTTACTCTTGTGTGGTAGGACTATGCAGTTACTGACTTTATAGTTGGAATGTGGTATTCCAGCACGGAGTCCACATGTATTCAGGAATCCAAGTTCGTGCCATACATTTTATTTGGATGTAAACATTGCTTTCTTTTGTTTTAAGACTCCATTTCACAATAAACATTTTGACAATTAAAAAAATAAGAATTTATGTAGGTTTTTCGTAACAGGGAGTCTTACATATTTTGACATGAATTGTCGTTGCCAGGAACATTGGAACATTGAGCTGGGATTCCTGCTTTGAAAAGCATTCACAGCATTGCAAGCGGAAGTCACGTTCTCAAACACCACTATAGCACTTTGCCATCCACAAAGTCTGACCGACGTAATTGGCCCAAACATGGACAGTGTCTGCATGAGTAACTGAATGTCTTCAGGCGGTTGCATGTTCTTTTTCAGCCATCTAGCAGAAGAGCAAATGGAAGAAGTAGTATTACCAGAAAATACATAACCTTAGTCTTCATCCCCCCCCCCCCATAATTTAATAAAAAGGGATGAAGGGAAAATTGGGTAATTTTACTGGAAAGTAGTATTCTATATCACTAATTATTTCTTTATTATACAGGGTGGGGTAAAAGTAGGTTTACAGTTATTCGTGTGAAAAATATTACAATAATTAAGAAGCTTCTGGCCAAGATGGAGGCATAAGTAGAGTGCTTCGCTTCCTCACACAACCAAAAGAAAAATAACCAATTAAAAAAAAGAACTGCCAGAAAATTGAACTGTATGGAAGTCTAACAACCAAGGATTAAAGAAGCATTCATCCAGAATGGTAGGAGGAGTGGAGCTGGGCAGCCAGGGTGGAGAAGATGCACAGCAATGCAGCAGCTAGCTGACAGGTGGCCAAGGCGTCTTCTGATGGACCAAGTGGTAGACAAAGTGGGCGAGGCAGGTGCTGGTGAACTGGGTGGTCCCACATTTCAGTGCAGATAAACTGGAACAACTGGCGAGCAAGACAGACCACAACCCAGGGCTCTAGCGCCATGCAAATAATCCTCAAGATAATTTGGCTGTGAAAATCTGGAGGGTGCAGCAGCAGGAGGAACTCCCAGCCCCACAGGAGAGTTCGTTGGAGGGGCCCATAGGATCCTAGAATGTACACAAGCTCACCCATCTGGGAATCACCAGAAGGGTTCAGTTTGCTTATGGGTAATGGAGAAAGTGACTGAAAGCAGGGCAAGCGCTCAGCAAGTGGCATAGTTCTCTCTCACCCCTCCACCACACACAACGAGCAATGTGGGTTATTCCATCCTGGGGAATATTAAGACTCTGACCTTTACAATGTAACAGGTGTGCCAAGACAAAGAAATATAGCCCAAGTGAAAGAACAGATCAAAACTCCAGAAAAACAACTAAGTGATGAGGAGATAGCCAACCTACCAGATGCAGAGTTCAAAACAATGGTAATCAGGATGCTCACAGAAATAATTGAGTATGGCTGCAAAATAAAGGAAGAAGTGAAGGCTATACAAAATGAGACAAAAATATACAGAGAATGAACAGTGAAGGGAAGGAAACCAGGACTCATGGTTTAGAGCAGAAGGAAGAAATAAACATTTAACCAGAACAGAATGAAGAAACAAGAATTCAAAAAAAAAAAAAAAATGAGAGGCTTAGGAACCCCCAGGACAACTTTAAACATCCCAACATCCAAATCATAAGGGTACCAGAAGGAGAATAGGAAGACCAAGAAATTGAAAACTTACTTGAAAAAATAATGAAAGAAAATTTCCTCAGTCTGGTAAAGGAAATAAACATATAAGTCCAGGAAGCCCAATGAGTCCCAAACAAGTTGGACCCAAAGAGGAACATATCAAATTACATCACAATTAAATTATCTTGGGAACCACTCTGCCTGGTTTCAGGAGTTGTGCCCCCCGTGGCTAAGGCTGAGTGAGCAACTTCCAGAATACAAGCCACTAAGGAGACAAAGCTTGTCTCTGCTTCATTCCCAGCCCCCAATGCTTGGTCGGTTAGTTTGTGATGGTTACGACCCCTCAGAGAGGGGCGACCTAAGCCAGACACAATCACTTGGGAGGCCATCATGGAAGGACTCAGGGGGCTGCAACAAAGAGGCAGTGATGGACTCTCCCCCACCCCCCAGCCTGCTATCCTGACAGCCCGAGTCCCCATGTCTGTTTGGGAGAAGTGCTTCCTGGCTCTAATCCACTTATGCCTAAAAACCTATGATGGAGAAGGTGGTGCAGCCCTGTGCTGGAAAGGGTGGGATCCGGGGTGATCAGGCATGAGAAAGAATATGTAAAATCCTGTGAAACCTGCTTTGTTTAGAATGTTCTCATTTAAATGATAACAGTCCAAGCAAGAAGTTTGTTTCTCAAAGTTTTATGGCTCTTTAGTTATCTGACCCTGACTGAGAATCAGCCCTCATAGTTCTCTGAATGCTATCTATTGTTTGATTCTTACCTGTATTCTTGTGCAAACAAACCCAATAAAAGCCCCTTGAGGAAGGGGCTCTTGGCCTTTCTCCTCTGAGAGATTGGCCACCTCTCCTCCCCAAGCAGATCATACCTTGGTAGTTTCACTTGACTTTGCGGGCAAAGTTGCCCCCACAAAATTAATCAAGATTAAAGATAAGGGGAGAGTCTTGAAAGCAACAAGAGAAAAGGAGACAGTTCCCTACAGAAGAGTTTCCATAAGGCTGTCAGCTGATTCCTCAAAAGAGACCTTACAGGCAAGAAGGGGCTGGAAAGAGGTATTCAAAGTCATGACAAGCAAGGACTACACCCAAGATTACTTTATCCAACAAAGCTGTCATTTAGAATGGAAGGACAAATAAAGTACTTCTGAGATAAGGTAAAGTTAAAGGAGTTCATTGTAACCAAGCCCCTATTATATGAAATGTTAAAAGGACTTATCTAAGAGAAGATCTAAACTATGAACATTAAAATGACAACAAACTCATAACTATCAACAACTGAATCTAAAAAGCAAATCTAAGCAAATAACTAGAAGAGGAACAGAATAACAGAAATGGAGATCACCTGGAAGGTTATCAGTGAGGGAGGGAGGAGAATGGTGGGAAAAGGTGTAGGGAATAAGAAGCATAAATGGTAGGTACAAAATAGAGAGGGGGGCTAATAATAGTATAGGAAGTGGAGAAGCCAGAGAACTTACATGTATCATCCATAGACATGAACTAAGGGGGGGAATGCTGGAGGGAATGGGGTACAGGTCAGAATGGGATGAAGGGGAGAAAATAAGGGACATATGTAGCATAATCAATAAAATACTTTAAAAATACATATATAAACAAAAAATAAGCTAAATTTTGCTTACAGCTAAAAAAAATATATAATAATTAAGAGCTGAGTGGCTTAGTTGGTTGGAACATTATCCCATACACTAAGAAGGCTGCATGTTCAATCCCCCATCAGGGCACACAACTAGGTTGTGGGTTCAATCCCCCATCCGGAAGTGTACAGGAGGCTACTAATTGATGTTTCTGTCTCACATAGATGTTTCTCTCTTTATCTCTCTCTCTCTTCCCCCTACTCCCCTTCCTTTTTCTCTCTCTAAAATCAATAGAAACATATCCTTGAGTAAGGACTAAAGTGATAATAACAATAATATCAGAATAAACTATGTTTTGTGTACTCACAACTGTAAACCTACTTTTGCCCCACCTATAAAGTCTTCATTCTCATTTAACTTGGTATTTTATAAAAAGGCATACCTGCAAGTCGCCTTAACTGTCGTTGAAACTGTTTTGATTACTACTATATATATATCAATTGAAAATGATGAGGGTATAATTCCAGTGGCTGCAAAATTGGCATAAACTTTTTGGTCTTCTAAATATCTTCCTTTTATTTTAACCTTCAAGCATCAGCATCAGGTAGCCAACCCAACAAAACCTCTAACTTTTTAGTTTTTAATTTTTTTACTCCAATAATCATAATCCAAAATGTTCACTCTTATGGAACATACATTAATGGTAAGAACAATGTTTATTGAGCACTTACTGTCTGTTACTAAAGCTTAATGCCTATAATCACATTTTATTCTAAAAAAAAAAGTGCCACAATTAAAAATCAGGTAGGTACAGTTGCTGCTAGCATTTTACAAGTGGGGATTCAGAAGCATAGAGATTTAAGTTAGCTTTTCCAGGGTCAAACTCACAG